CCCCACTCTTCCAGAGTGGATGAATCTGCATCCGGTGTCCCGTGCTGCTCTCAACCTGAGGAGGTTCAGCTTGATGGTTTTTGTGTAAACAAAGAAACTGGCGCACTGAGCTCATACCTCCACCGAGGAAAAGCCAATTTAATTCATATTTCTGAGGTTTGGAGGCTCCGCTCCTTCGAGGATTCTCTGCATGAGATTATTTTTTCTGGGGTTTCATTGATCGTGCCCAGTTTTCTGCCTCACAGGAAGCCTTTGATTTCTCTGCTCAGCACTGGAGGCGTTGTCAGTCACTGATGTAAATTTGCTAAAACACTGAGGGAAATGTCATGATGCCACGCTTCATGATCTGTCCCTGAGCCGCAGATACAGCTGTCTTTTCCATTGGAGTTGTGTGATTGGATGTGTTAGGCTGAGACTTAATGGTGTCCACACGTGTGTGTTCACACTCGACATGCTGGTGTGACATTCACACGCTTGATTGGATCTCACCGTAGCCCTGTAGACGAGAAGGTGTCGTTGTTCTGTAGATCCTGATCGTGTTGGAGGGCAACAGACATGTGCTCAGCTCTGCTGCTGCAGGTAGAGCCGCAAACATCACGACCCACCCACCCAGTCTCTGAGCACACCATTAAATACATAATCACCGCCCATTTTATTAGGTACACCTGTTCAACCCCTCGTTAACACTGATGTCTAATCAGCCAATCGCACGGCAGCAGCTCAGAGCCTTTAGGTGTGCAAACATGCTGAAATTCAAACTAGAGGTGGTCTCATCCAGGTATCGATAGTATCAGATCGATGCTTTGTTTCTATCCTCTATGTGCAGCTCACTGAAGCGTGTTAAATAAGTAATTTTTTTAATAAAATTCTACACCCCGAACATGAGCTATGAAACATGTCTGTGCTGACTGTCTGCTTTATTTACAGCCTGCAGCACAGTTAAACTACAGACACTGAGCCCGACAACTCTACATTCAGCTCAGTTTCAAAATAAAAGCTGGAAGGTGTGTTTTACTGTGTTAACTCCTTATTTTAAAAGTAAAAGTCACAGTGATTTAGTGATACTTAAAATGCCTTCAGAATTTGCAACCTGATGATGGTTCATCTCATAAATCAGGACACACTGCGCTCCTCGACATCAGCTGCCTATAGAAATAGTTAAAAATATCACTATTGGCATCGGTATCAGTGGTACTGGCCCTGTATTTACCTGGCGTTGGATATACACCAATCTGCAGAGTGGCGCAGCACGAGTTCAAATTGAGCATCAGAATGATAAGAAAGTTGCTTTAAGGGCCTGAGGGCGGCGTGGTTGTTGGTCTGAGTGTTGCACAATCTGCTAATCTGCTGCGATTTTACCACCAACCACCATCACAGACATCAGCTCTCTGGGAGGAAACACCCTGCTGAGCTCAGAGGTCAGAAGAGAAACAGCAGACTGCTGATAGAAAGGTACTCATTACAACCAACGTCTACAGAAGAACCTTCAAGCAGATGGGCTGCAGCAGCAGGAGACCACATTGTGTCATTCCTGTCAGTAAGAACAAGAAACTCAGACTTACAACACAGTCTGGTTTCTGAACATGACAAGTTCGCTGCACTCAGTCCAACAGAGCACCTTCACCTTCATCACAAAGGCAGCAACACACCTGCAGAAACTGTGTGATGATGTCATGATGATGTCATACCATGGAACAAAGTCTGAGGAATGTTTCTAGCAGCTTGTTGAGTTAAAGCATCTCTGAATGAAAAGAGCCCATCCACATCCTAACAAGGAGTAACTAATAAAGTGGCCAGTGTTTAATTAAAGTCTAAGAACACATTGGCGGCATAAAGTAAATGTAAAGAAATGAACACACACACTGTGTCCTGTCCCTCAGTAGGCTTCCAGACGTTGGCCATCAGGAAACAGGATGATACAGAAGGATGATTCTTAACTGTGAATCATGCAAAGCCACTCTGATAAATTCCATGAGTGAAAAACGGAGCAGGTCATGATCAGGGAGCGCTTCATTTAAACCCATTAAACTCAGGATGTTCAGTATTTGGATGAAGCCGCTCATGAGAAGAAACCTCAGCCTGTCAGTCACATTTAATCAGCACTCAGGTAAAACAGATCAGACTCAATGAAACTCAGCTCGTTAACAAAGAAGCTGCACTGATGCTGATGGTGTCTTACCACGTTGCTGATGATATCGTTTAATCAGCACCTCACATGCCGTCAGTTGACCCCCTCTCCCTGTAATGTTCTGTAGCCAGTGAGCAGAGACCTGTCAGACATGCCGCCAGTCCTTCGGCCTGCTTCTGCTCCACTTAAGACTATTTGCCTGTTAGCAGCTGACCCAGGGTCAGCCAGTCTGGGCGTGTCCCTGTGTATCATGCGCTCATCAGAAACGTCCTGCACAGCGAAGGTGGTCAGAGCAGTCTGCCTCACAGGCAGGAGATGCTAATCAGCACCGCTGTACATGTGAATGCAGGTGATTACATGTAATCACATGTGGGTAAATGTGATTGCAGCACTCAGACCTGACATGGATACGACTACAGCACTTTCACTGCTCCTGCAGCGTGCTCACTGTTAAACCCTAACACAGCTGCAGGACACAGAACCACAAACACTGCCTCCTGTTACAGTCCTAATTAGGTCACATGGTGAGTGCACTGATGGAGCTGAAGTTGTTGATGGAGGAAGAACAGACTTCTGTGCTGCTGTTTGTTGGGTGGATGCGAGCAGGTGGATGCTGTTGTCACGGCCAGCGGGGGCAGACCGTGTGGAGAGTGTGTGGTGGACCCAGGCGCGAACACAGGCGAGGAGACAGGAGTGAACTTAAACTGAAAGAGAGCCTTTATTTGGGCTGATGCAGGAGGGAGTAGACAAAACATAACAGGGACAGACTGCAACTAACCAAAAACCTAAACTGGAAAAATACTAACCTGACTGTAAGGAATAACTATGATCACTGTGAACAGAATGCTGTGCAGATGCATGGAAACTGTGAACCAAATGGCATGACGAAACAGACATGACCTGCACAGAACCTCATCGTGCAGCTGCATGAAAAACAACAGAAACCAAATGGCAAACCTGAACTGCAGAGAATCCTGAAAAACACTTAACTTGACCAGAGGGGAAGTACACAGACAACGCGACAACGAACAAAGGAAGACTGAGGACTTAAATACACACATGAGGTGATCAGGGGAAGTGGAGACACATGAGAACACAGCTGACTCGAATGAAACATAATGACAATACAGGGGAGAGAAACACTAACTACAATGAACAAAGAACACCAGACTCTTACAAAATAAAACAGGAAACACGGAGACATAGACATGGAGATAAAACATGACATGAACTTAACCGCATAGACATGAAACATAGACGCAGGAACCAGGAAGACTGAGTACAGGCGGAGATGACAGAAATAACTAAGAAATAAGGCCTGAACAGCAACCTAGAATTTAACTAGACTGAAAATAAATACAAAAAAATACATAAAAACTCAAACACTGGGTCACACGACCCAGTACCGTGACAGCTGTGCTGTTTAGGATTGTGTCACAGTGAGCTGGCTCTGAGAGCAGGGAGCAGTCTGAGTTGTTAAAATGTTTCTGTGTGGATGTTGAGTCTCTCTATTAAACACGTCCAATATATAAAAGTAGTTTTATATATTTGAAGAAGGATGCAGACTGATTGACTCATGGAGCAAACTTAAGCAGTAAGTGGTTTACGCAGGATTACAGAGGATTAGTCACATGAGCTCGTACAGCGTACCAAAGACAGGTCTTCTTCATTTAAGTTTATCTGAATTCATCACAACAACTCAGACATCCTGATAAAAATATCATTTATAAAATCTCAGCTTTGTATTTAGAGTTTTCTGTTTTAGGAAGAAACACAGTTACAATGATGACCTTTAACCTGTCCAATCACGTTGATGGACATGATCTGTGATCACTCTGCTCTCATCCTGTGATTATTGGGCATGCGGGTGCAGGCTAGAGGGCTGACGGAGCAATCAGTCACACATCGTTCGTGTGATTTTAATATGTTATTCAGTACAAACATGTCACTGGGTTTACACAAAGATCGCAGGTTAGATAAATCAGAGATGTTCCTGGCGACCAATTTCTTCGTCTACTAAAAAAAAGATTCTTCAACAATGAACCATGCCGCTTCATTATCAACATTACATGTTATACTCCAGACAGCAAGGCAGAAAAACACTTTAAATAAACTAATGTTAAATATTGTATGAAAACATGTTAGTACAAAAGTTCACGTGTTATTAAAACTGTGACTGAGCAATGCGCCGTGCATTATTGAAGCTAGTTCATCCACTTCAATAAAAGTTCAAATCCAAAATAACACATTAAATCATTCATTTATTTTCTTCTGCTGATCTGAAGTTGGGTCTCGGGGGCAGCAGCAGGGAAGCCCAGACCTCCTTCTCACCACGTCCTCCAGCTTATCCAGAACCATCAAGGCATTCCCAGGCTAACCTCCTCTCTGGAGGACAAGCCCGGCCAGAATAGACAGGAGGCGAAATGTTCACTTTTCTACAACAAGCGAAGCTTCTCTGTAGTTATTATTCAAATTCACCTGTCTAATGGTGCATGCTGTAGTAGTGTTCTTATTATTTTGTCGAAGGTGACTTTCTGTTCCTCCTCTGAGTTTCTCTTTGTTTTTGTTTTTCTTTGACCTCCGGCCTTCGGACTTTTCAAAGTAAGTGGAGAAGCAGAAAAACACGGTTAATCATAAAAACAGAAATCGAAGCTTTCAGTCTAAAAGTGTCTTTTGGGAGACGCGAGAGTGCCGCGAGTGGAGTGATTACAGCCTTGCTGATTGGAGCCTTGCTGAAGTCAAGTCGCTCTCTGAAAACGTTCAATTATCTTTCAGCAGATTATTTCATTAAGTGCACAAATTAGTGCAAGCTCGGGCACAAAGACGTGTGTGAGTCTCTTTAATTTATCTTTTATCTCTTCTCTCTCTGCAGATTCATCCCTGACCAAGATGAGCCCCTGCTCCGAGGCAGGGAAACCCTGTAACCCCTGTCTGGATGCGGCGAAGGCTTGTAACCTTAACGAGACGTGTAAACGTCTCCGATCTGCCTATAACTCCATCTGCAGCAAGACCACGCCCCCACAGCCCTCTGCGGGCTATCAGGAGCCGTGTAGCAGGAAGCGATGTCAGAAGGTGGGTGCAGCGCCTCAAGTTTGAGGGGAAATCCTGAAGCAGTGAGAAAACTGCCCAGCGTTCAGCTCAGCTGCACGAAGCTCAGCTGCACGAAGCTCAGCTTAATTTCACACTTTCACAAAGCGTAGATAAAAAAAAAACAAAACTCCGAACCTCTCCACAACAGCATCCTGCTCCAGCGTCAAAGGCAGGGAATGTGGGAAATGTAGCAGGGAGGTGGTTTAAAGACAAGGAACATAGCTCTGACCCAGACTGCAGGTACATGCTGCAGGTCACAGGCAGGGGATGCTTAATAAGGCAAGGCAAGGCAAGTTTATTTGTATAGCACAATTCAACAACAAGGTGATTCAAAGTGCTTTACAGAGACATTAGAAACAAAAACAAAT